CCTACAAGGTCAAATTTTTTAAAAATTTGTAAGATCTATAACAGAACTACATGCATTTGGTTTACCAAAGCTCTAATTTCGAAATCTTCATAGAAAAGTTAGCAAACCTAGCAATTTGGCTCTTTTAGCAGCTCAAAACTACTACTACTTTACCTATGAGTAAAACTGTTGTTAATTGCTTCTTTAGGGCTTGTGTTAACGTCTTACTACTTATTAATTTTTTTAATTTATTCAGTGGTAAGTATTTTGTGTCTAAAAGAGCTTAAGAGTGGTAAGCTTGTTTATATGTTGGACTCTACCGTTTAAAACTAAAACAAATAATTTGTATTTTAATATTTTATAACTTCCCACTTTATGACCTGGTTTAGTTAAGCCTTTTTCGAGCCATCATTTGTAAGGCTATAAGATCGTACGTTTAGTAAACAACACAAGCTACCAAATGATTCTCCCAATCAAATTTTTTTAAAAAAATTCAAGTCTATCTATAAATTTTAAAAATAGCTGCATTTTGCAATTTTTTAAGTTTCGCGTATTTTTCCACTGATATATTTATGACCCTTGCCACCACATTTTTATAAATACAAGAGACATACCGCTGTCAATGCGCCCTGGACAACCCGACTTTTTACTTAAAATATGCGATAAAAATATTTAACTAATTTACATATCGCTTTGTATAAAAATACTTACATATTAGAAAACTTTAACTACGTAAATTTATAACTGCTGACTATATATTACAGACCTTATATATATATTATACTTTTTATTTTTAAATATATATTTTTTTAAATATATATGTATATATTCATCTTTATATTAAATATGAGCCCCTCCTCTGAAGAAGAGCTTCGAGCTTTTTTTGCTAGCTTATAAGCTATAAATGAAGGACACAGAAGTTAGAATGTATAAAGTAAAAACTTTTTGAATTTACCATAACCACTCAGAATAAAAATAAGTCTAACAGAAAAAGAGCTATCTCATAGTATAACTAATAATAATGCATTTTCGACCTAACAAATTTTCAAACATCCAAAAGCTTCTGAAGTGATACTGGAAGATAGCGAGGCTCTAAAGTTACAAAAGACGAGTCTATTCAAGGTAAACTAGCTAATATTTTAGCCGCTTTTATTACGACCAATACGTTATAGTAAACATAACATATACAGTAATAGAAATAAAATATTAGTTCCAGTAAGGATACGACTAGTTGACAAAGTCATTAAAGACTTAGAGAAGCCCTTGAGAGCTTTACAGGGGTTGCTATTCTGACACTGCCCCTTTTATTAATGAACTACCATATACTGCGGCAACCTCCCTGCGAACTCGTAATGAGCCCACCCACAACCCTTTATGAAATTCAAAAGTGGTTCCTTCTTGGACAACTATTGTAATGTAACCGCGCAATGACTTGGAGGTGAGAAGATACGCGTTCTAGAATTAAAAAAATTAATGACAACGATTGAAGATCCGCGCTATCACAGCAATAATGGGCAATCAAGAATTAGAACATTCACCATTTAATTACCTGAAATCAAGCAATTTTTTTTTTTGTTATCCGTTAAATTTATTTGAACTCGACATTTTCTACGCGTGCACGGCTAGACATCCCTCCGAGTAGCATGGATGCACACACTGTTAAGGTTGGACGGAAGAAGTGTCCGTTACCATTAGTGCTGGTACATACACCGAGAACTGACGACGGAAGCTTTTAAGACTGAAGACTATTTCTATCTCCAAATCAAAGTAGAAGAACTTGGAATAAGGAATCGCGTTGACCAGTGCCATCCGCTGCAAGCTTTTTCGCTGCGGCACCATGATGCGCTTAATGCGGTGAGGGTTATTTGACCGCGTAGTGTCCCCAAACACGGGGCTCTCCTGCCAGATCTGCGAATTGCGGCGAGGCTCACGCACCGCCAACTGCTGGGGCTGCAAATTTTACTCGTGAAAGTCTTTAATAATCGACTAATCTACGCGACCTCGACATCCGACTACCACTCCGGGCGCCCCATATATCCAACTATTTCCTATGCTTCCCGGTGAGAGTGAGAGCGTAGCAGGCGACCCTAAGAAAATCTTACTCACGTTATTAATGCAGACTCAGTCACTCAACAACAAGAACAGCGATCGCAACCGACTTTACAACAGCTGTTAGCTATTCTTTTGACGAGGGATCTCTCGACCATGTTCGAGACCGTGAAAGGTTTGGCATTTGTTTGTGATGGCTTTTAAAAATTCATACGCTTGATCAGATTTAATTAAAGTTTCGGGATGCGAAGGGCGACTAGAAGAACAACAAGAGTTGCAAAAGTTAATCCAATGCTAAAGGATACATAACTGTGTCGTATGCAAAACAGAGCTCCCGCTAAATGTACTATTTAACATCTGCAACTTTGCAATGTATCGCTAAAATCGGTTGTACACCAGTGATGGAGGAGTGGCTATCCTGATCAAAGGAAGCATCTAACACAATTTTTAGCATTACCAGCTCTGAAGGAGCCGAAGCAATTGGTATTACCTTCAGCCTGGCTAGACAGGGGTCCACAACTTTGAGTGCAATATATAAGTCTCCTAGCCAACCACTAACCCTGTGCTACCTTGACGCTCTTTTACTGCATGACTTTCCGGCCATTCTATGCGAAGATCTAACTGAAAATATCCTGCGTGAGACAGCGGGGTCGCAAATCGAAAAGGCTAAGGCGGCTTAATGCTGAGGAACGCGATGTGGAAGTCCTAGGACCACAGTTGCCAACACAAATGGGGAGAAAGACGGGTACAGTGAACGTGCTCGACATCGCCGTGTAAAAAATATATGCATTCCAACAACTATTGAGACGCTGAATGAATTTTCGTCGGATCATTTGCCTGTCTTACTTGAATTGTTTGAGAAGACGCTCCCACCGTTTACGCTAACACTCCAGACTCCCGCCAAAGCGCGCGGTGACAGAAACTCACAGGCGACATACAAGTTAATAATATTATTCTAATACCATCTTTTCCAGTACCATACCAGAACGAAGTAACCACTTATTCATCAGTCACAACTAGCCCTATTATTACCAACATAGCACCTCTCATAATTATGAAAGAGGCATTTCTAGCCAGTTAGTCCGAAAGCATCTAGAATCTATGCGGTAGCATTATTTACATACACTTGTGACAAGAATCAACGATAAAATTGACTTTTGGGCGCACCTATCTGCCTCTGTTGAGTTACCTTTATTTAAGCCATTTAGGCTATGACTTCTCAAAGTCACAGGATCTGCGGGTCGAGGGAAAAGTGAGCACTTCGATCAAAGCGCAGGCAGTACGATAGTATATCAAAAGCAGCAGCTAACCATCCCAAGGTTATTTAGCCTCTTGACGGTTCATTGCAAACAGAAGACCGCTCACTGGAAAGATGGAGATCATGAATAATAACCTTATCATTTAAATTAAAACTGTCATTAAAACCCCTACCTGTAATGGTCAAAGGTAAGTTAGAATCTTTTATAGGTCGGTCATCTGTCCAGGATTAACTTTTTTTAAGAGCAGTTTTTTCTAACCTTGTGTTTGTCAAGTTCAACTTTAGAGCTCTTCATGTATCCTATCGACTCTCAGAGCTTACAAAGCAAGTCAACCATACACGTGAACTTGTGTACCGCCCTAAAAGACATTAATATGCGATAGATTCTACGTTAAAGTCACACGTTTTACTATGTTCTCGTACGCGCAAGTTAGTTGCTGTCGTCCATGACACCCCACCATTAACGCAGCAAAGAGCAAGGCGCTTCTTAAAATGAATAAACGCAATCCGCTGTGGACTTGGTTAACTTTTAACGGTATGGAAACCAGTGGTGTTCTCAGTTAAAATACTGGGGTTATTATAGGTGCTAAGCTGTCGTGTCATCCACACGTAAATTGAATGGCGGCGGTCAAAGCAGCAACCCAAATGCTCTTTCTCTATTGTGCAGAAAAAGTAAACTTTCGTTGCGCAAGAAGCGAAGGACTTTATGCGCTGTGTATTCGGTCGATCATGACATATGCATCTACTACTTGAGATTATGACTTATCGGCAATAACGTTCCTCGCTCCCAGTGGGACAAAATAAACTAATGCATCTTTTAACAAACGCGCCCGTGGTTTCTGCGCTACACTTCACCAGAACTACAAATTGACTGCTGACCACAAACCTTATAAATGTTGCCTTCTCCTTCTACGGAAGGACGGCTGGACATGCTAATCGCCTTTTAGCGGAAGTACTCACAAGGTTTAGGACGGCGCACCCGTAGCATGATAGTAAAAAAGTTAAGTTGGGGGTTTATCGAACGCGAAGGACACAAGATAATTTCACCTGTGCTCGTGGATTACTAAAACCTGGTTTGAGGGTTTCGTGTACTCGGAGTGTTAACTCGATCGAGCACCAGGAAACGCCATATGTATATAAATGAGTAAAGCTTATAAACGCATGCACAAGCAACTAGCCACGACCAACAGATGAACTAACTTTTCATTTTGATGTGTACTTAGCCGTTTATCCGATGAAGGTAGCCGAGGTTGACGCGTGCCAGTATCAAAACTGGTCATGTAATTTTAAAAACAAAATCTTTAAATCTACCTTTTTTGAGCTGGATGAAAGCTTTATTCAGTATTTGAAAGAGGATGGAGTTTTTTACCCGGAAGGGTTACTTTTTTACTATTAAGTGCTCCATTTATTTTTTATAGTCCCTACTTCTTCATGACAGTGAAAACGCAAATAATTTTGTAGAAAAAATTGCTGTCAATAATATTAATATTGGAAAGGCATTTTTTTTTTGTTGTTTTACCACTTTCCCTTGCTGTCAACTTTAAGAGTTCAGACTTTTTCTTTTCCCAAATTAGAGTCTAATATCCGTGATGTCATTTATAAGTATGGTCATGTCTATCCTAAGTTAAACTGGAGTTCTCCCAGAGTAATATTATAATTTTTACTTCAGTTTTTTTACTGCTTTTACTTAGTTTTTCTAAAATTGCAGGATGCTAGTTGGATTGTTAAAGATAAAATGCTTAAATGCGATAGCGTGTCCGATATTTTTCTTTTATTAAAAAGCTCAGATTTTATTATTCATGACCTGGAACATGCGTTTGTGTTACTTTTCTATAACTTACATAGTCGCAGTTTTACAAGTATCATGAAAGTAGTTACGATAATTGTGAGGAAAAAAATAAGCCTTCTCGCCCCGAAAAATTTTATTTGGTGCTTAAAAAGGTTTCCTTCATACTTTTGAGTACTTAGCTCTTATTAATTTAGTTAATTTCTCTTTTTAGTGGTATTCTTTAAACAACGCCATGGAGTTTAGATGTTTTATTAGGAATAGCAAGTTGGTAGGTGTGATATTTTTATTGCATCGCAAACTTTTTCGTCGCTTTCCTCTTAGTTTTATTTTAGTAGGATACAAATACAGATATTTATTGTTTATTTATTTATCTTTACTTGCTTATGTCAATAGGAAATGGCTTTTGATATCGCTTTACATAGTCTAAGATACCGCTGCTATTATTAGTTATTGTTTTTACATATTTGTTTAAGACTCTATTTTATTATAAATTTTGTTTTTCCGAGTATGAAGATTTTTTAAAAAAAGATCCTTTTAGTCATTTTTAAGGTGATTTTGTCGTGAACATTTATTTTTTTTTATATACTACTTTCTATCCCTCTACATAATTTCTTATTTAAATTGGATCTTTTTTACAAGGCATATCTCAAAGAGACTTTACGTTCTATGAATATATGAAAAACTCCATTGCTGCCATTACTGAAAGGATAATCGATTTTTATTATCAAGAAGTTTTTCAGAAGTTTCAAAGTGATAATTGTATCTTTATTATTATTATTAAGTTTTAAATTGTCACTATGTATACTTAACTATGAAGAGTAATTAGCCATAATTATATTATGTATAGCTTGTAGTTGTTATAAAACTATTTTACACTGTATTGAGTGCGTTTTGACCAAAACTTATGCATCCCCCTATTAAACAGTTAGCTTTATATTGATCTATTACAAGAACTATTTAAATTTTACTGCGTCATTTAACAAATTAGTATTTATAATTGTTTTTATGCTTTGTAGATTGTTAAATTTATTTTTTTTATCGTTAAGTTTAAGTGGACTATATATTATACAAAGATTCACTGGACGTATACGTGGGCCTTAATAGAATATATATTATCGATTTTAATCCGTGGGGCCCTCCTACTGATCCTCTGCTTTTTACTTGGGAGGCCCTTAATAATGAATGTAATATTATTATGGATACTTCAGTTTTTTTTTAAAATACATATATATGCTATAAACATTGAATATAAATTTTATATATATAGCTATATGTTTTTTTGAGCGGATTAAAAGTTGTGGTTTATTTATTAAATTTTTTATTTTTTCGTCATTATTATTGTGTGCGCACTGCGTCGTAATAAAGTGAATACTTTAACTTTCCTGCTCATTTATAATGGCGCTTATTTATTTTTAAAAGCTTTCCCGTTTTGCATGGCTGGGGACAAGAACGTTTCGTTGTATGTTCAAAAAGGAAGTGTAACTCTTGCTGTGAAGATTATGAATGAATACACAGGTTACTATTATACGTCGTATATTTTAGCGGAGTAACATACTATCAAATATATGAGTAACGCCACCGATTTCCACGCGGTGGGCTGCATTCTTATTTATTCACTGTTAATATTAACATCCTTTTTGAGGGGTTATAAATTATACTTATATATATATATCGAGCGTGCCTACTAGTTTTCATGCTGTCCAATTTTTCCAACTTTCTGTTAGCGATATTGATATCAATTTGTTTTTACTTTAGAGCTTATTAAGTCTATATTTATAATTTACTTTTTGTACTTTTTAAATTTAAAGTATATACTTTATATTGTACTATAAATCACGTTTCTTGTTTATGTCAGGTAAATAGAAATACTTAATACTTGTGGTTTTTTTATGTGTTTCTTATACCCGTTCGACTCTTAATACGGTATAGGACTGGGACCCTCGGCATTATACTTGTCCAGTCGACGCCCTTGGGAAGTTCCTTACCCTCTCACAACGGAAAACATAGAAAGAGTAGTCAAGCTATGCCAGGAACAAAATGAAGACACTGAAGCTAGCTAAGAAGTTAATAAATGAGTCATTCGACAATCTTTAGCTTTTACCGATAATTATGTTTAAAGATCATATATATATATTTTTATTGGTGAGTAATGATTATTAACCATCTTTTTTGATTACTCTTTGTAGTATAGGTATTGACATCTAAAGTAATTATTTATTATTATCATACTTATTTGGATCTTATTATTGATAGTTTCTTGCCCTCAAAGACAAGAACCTCAGTATTTTTTTTTGTTTACTTGTAAATAAAATGTCTAGGGAAAGAGGTAGTTAACAGCAAAAACATTAAACAGTTTTTTTGCTTAGACTTAACTGGTGAAATACCATTTTACCCAAAGGAATTTATTTACATAGTCTTGTTTAAGATTCATAGCTCAAGTGTTACTTATATCAAGTTAAAGAACATTTATAACCCGTTTAACTTTAATAGAGTATAAAAGTTTATAGTTTGTCTCCCGCTAGTCTTTATTGAATGAATAAGTTAAAAATAACTATACAGATAATCATTGTTTCCGAAAGTCGGATGGCTGAGGATTTGGTGTCTATTTTCATTCGTAATTCACCTGGTGTAGGCATGCTAGAAAACTTTACTGACTGAATAACTCCGCAGTCCCGACATTCATAGCACTTGTCAGAGCCGGGGGCTCTAATAAATACTATTTCGACGGTATTATTAAAACTGTCGCCATAATCTATGCAATCTTTATCATTAGTAAAGAAGTAAATTTCATTTGGAAAATCTCCGCTGAGCTTTGCTATTCCTATTGTGTTCTTTTGTCCCCCTTCCTCGACTTCCAACATTTTCATTAGCCGTTGGCAGCTTCCTGTTTTCATTTCAGAGTGTATAAAGTAGTTGCCGCTGCAATCCTTGTTTTCATAAAGGCCGACCTTTGATTTAAATAATTGTAACTCAGACAAATATTTAACCAATTAAGTATATTACATGAGAGAGAAACTTAGATATATATTGTAAAATATTGTTTTTGTACCAAAAAGTGAAATTTGTTAACATTTTGAGAACCCAATATCAAGCCGTCTAAAATTAGACTAAGAAAAACTAGTACATTTTTATAAGACATTGCGTTTAAGTTAAAGTTAATTTAGTAAGCTTGGATAAGTTATGAAAGCTTTAAAGATCGCTTAAACAAATGCTTAACAAATAGAAACAGCTAAATAAAACACTTATAACTCTACTTAGTAATCTCCGTTTCCTATTATAAGCATATTTTAACCATATGAAGCAAGGCTAAACAAAAGTTATTTCCTAAGCTGTTTGAACCAAATTCTTTATACAACCTAGTGGTTTCTCTTAACATTAATTAAAGCCTTTAAAATAAAACCCTAATGATTTTACTATGTATAATGTTGACAAACATTAAAAAGTTTGTAAAACTGGGGCTTTTACCACTGCAAATAAGCATTTAAATAGGCTTTCTTCAACCGTCCATCTCTAATGCAAAAATATAAATTTCATGTTTGCAAAAAATTACGTGGTGGGAACGTTATAGGTCAACTTTAAATGGTTGAATAATACAAACTGCAAGTACTCTTTTTTACGTAAGTATTTCTAATACATCAGGTGTTCATTTACCTTACCAAGTAATTTATTCACATTATAAAAAAATTGTCTGGTAAATAGCCTTTGCTACATTTTAATATATCCGATTTCACAAATTTTAGGTACACTTTATTTATCAGTTCGTAACAAGTAGTATCGTTGCTTAAAATAGGATGCACTCTTTTTTAGCTGTAACAGTTTTTGATTCACTTGCGGCGTTGTCAAAGTGGATGATGCATATTATGGGTAGCGCAAGGCTATCTTGCTCTTTGTGCATAGCAGCAGATAAAAACGATTATGTTACTGCTTTGACCTTAAATCACGATAGTTTATTGTTGATTAGGACTCCCAAGTGTTATTAAATATGCTCAAAACTCAACCATATACAAACCACAAGTACATACAGTCTAGAAAAGACCACACTAAGAAGACTTTACGGAGAAAAACCAACCAAGAACACCATAAACACAGTCTATAAGAAAACAGTTTTGAACATTTTAGAAGGATATAGTCAAAAATTTTATATACAAATATGGTAATTATTAACCAACATTTTTTAGATAGAACTAAAATAAACAATTAATTGTTTTGCTAACAATCTGTTATGACAGCAAGAAGGAAGGCTAATAGTATATCCACGTTCTGGGATTTGAAATTTTACTTTCAGCTTCGATACAAAAATCTAATATTGATCATTATTATTAGTGTTTTGAGAATCTTCGGTTCCAATAGTAAGGACTCAAAATGCAAGCAATTTGTTACAATGAATTTTTAAATTAAAAGGCCATACATGGCAACGAACTCCATCTCAGCGGGCCATATATATTTAAACGTCTACAAGGAATTAATCTCCTATTTTGCGTTCCTCTATGTAAAGCTGTTTGTCCGTCTACAGGACTTAAAATCGTATAAAACTAAAACTAGAAGTTTAAAGGGTTGCTAGAGTTCCTGACATTAAGTATTTACTAAAAACTATAAGTTACAGGATTTCCTAAACTTGGGTACTTTTTTTAGTATAGATATATTTTACTAACAAAATGAATACAGAGGTAATCACCTGCATGAGCTATCAAATATGTGCAGGGCTACCTGTACTTATTTTTTATAGTGGTTTGCAGTGTGGAAACTTACGATAAACCCTAAATGCTGGGACCCGTTAAAGTTGTAATGCTATCATAGACCTCCATTCCCTGGTGCAACCTTGGTTTTATAAGTAACTCCAAATTTAACTGGGAGCCTCTCATCGAGTATCTTGTTAAAAAATTAAGAATAACCTATATCCTCTTACATGCAAAAGAGGCAATTGTACATAAAATAAACTCATATGGAGCTATTATTAGGTCTATTGAGTTACGCCTATGTTCTGTGACTTGGCTTTACGTCTTAATACTAAATTTTTCAAAAGAACCTTCGAACATTTCAGGCTCACCCGTGTCAATCCAAAACTCTCAATGCATCGCCAATGAGGGACGAATTCCTTTTACTTTACCTCAAACGGACGGCTATGAATTGTTTTACTTAATATTAACATCCAAAAAATTATATAACCAATGCATTGAGTACTACCTCGCACAATTTCTCAAGTATAAACGACCTAATAATTCTTAGAAAAGCGAGTACTATGACGGTTTCAGAACATCTACTAGCTTATATAATCATTTAAAACTGTTTGTTGACCTTTACACTTGGTATAAGGTTTAATAAATTTAATGGTTTAGCAACTAAAGGAGTGTTCGTCCATTTAATTAAACCAGATACAAATTTAATCATTTATTTTACTTTATTAATTTATTGTAAAAGTACGGTAACTTTAATCAGGTTTAGTCAACCTTGTTACGAAGATAATGTTTAATATAATATATGAAATTTAAGCGATTAAAATTATATGGAACATCGTTAAAAATTGTTTCTAGGTATAAAATTTTCCCGTTCTGTAACGCTTTAGTTAACATTTGGTTATATTGATTCCTTATATATATAAGTTTAGATTGGGATCTAGTCATCATAGGGGTTTTTTTATGAAGCGTTTGAGTGATTATAAAGGATAGCTTATTTAGAGACCTTAATTTAATAATTACGTAAACTTTCACACGATAAATAAAATAATGAAAAATATCTTTTAAACCAAGGAAAGCCTTCTACTGAGATCGCTCATGAATGTGGTGTCAATAAGGCTATCATATCCCGGTTCAAAGTTCAATATAATCGAAATCGTCCTTGCAATGAACCTGGGCGTCCAAAGATCTTGAAAAACCGGGAAGTAGCTTGAATTGTACAAGTGACACTGTGTACAGTTGAATCTGCACAGAAAGCTTCAAAAATCATAGAAATAACATCAGAGAGACCATTTTCAAGGCAGGCCGCATCTGAAGCATTGAATTCTTCTGGTCTCAATGCGAAAAAAAGTTAATTAAAACCCTCTTTGACAGACCGTCAAAAGCGACTAAGATTTGAGTTTGCGAAGCAGTACGAAAATTGGTCCATTTCTGACTGGGAAAAGAAATTTTTTCGGGCGAGACCAAGATCAACTGATATAGATCAGATGGTATTAGGTGGTATTGGAAATTATTTGGCAATAATCGATACTTGATCACCAAGTGATGCAAATATATAAACATGGCGTAGGCTCGAGTATGATTTGTTCATGTATAACATCTAAGGGGGTCGGATTTGAAAAAGTGACAGGGAGTATCACCCCAAACACGTATTTACACATTATTAAGAATGACCTACTCAGAACATGAGAGTGGCATGACCTTAGCCTTGGTGAAATGGTTTTTCCACAGGATAATGCCCCATGTCACACTGCATTATCGGTGCGACCATGACTCCAATTACAATTGTTCCAAGTGCTAGACTGGCTTCTGCAATCCCTAATTTCAATTCCATTAAGCATGGGGGATCTTGAAGAGAAAATTGGGACCATACAAATCAGCTTCTGCTAACTTGGACGAGCATTGGGCACGCACAATCAAAATGGAAAAATATAACCCGCATTAAATGCTGCAATTTGATTGCTCGTATGCTAAAGAGGATACGGACAGTAATTCTGGCAACAGGGAGCTACACTAGTAATGAAAACCTCGTTTTTGTAAAATTAAATTTTTTCTACGTGCAAAATTGTTTCTATAATCTTTCAACTTTACAAGCTCATATCTTTTTGAATACTAAACCAATTTAAGATCAAGTATTAACAAATGTAGCTAGAACATGGAAGTTTACTATGTATAAATTTTAAAGTAATCCAATACATTATTGAAAAGTTTTTCTATATTAAATTAAATCATGCAAAACATTGAAACAATTTTGCACGATAGTGTATAGTGTAAACTTCATTGAAATCGGGATGGCGGTTTAACTGCTTGCCTTGCGTATCAAAATCAAGGTGGTAATCTTTTCTTAAAGAAAGGGCTCATATATACAATTCTAACT